GGGGAGTGTGGGCTGCAGGGGGAAGGAGTCCCAGGGGCTCTGTCCCTGCTGGGTGAGGAGTCATGCCCCTGCTCTAGCCGCTTCCTTGCTTGTGGTGTCCTGTCTCACCTCCTCCCTGTCTGGGGAGGCAGCTACTTCCCTCCTGAGAAGGGAGCAGTCCCCACCACTTCCCCTCTGCCCCACAGCCCCTGCACGCACACAGCCCTGGGCAGGCTCCAAGGCAGCTGCCCCCTGCTAGGAAATTACAGCTCACATGGTGGCTGCGGGGAGCTGGGCGCTGCTCCTGCAGGGGCCTTCTGCTCCCCTCCAAAGTGCTCCCACAGCCACTGAAGGAGGCTTACCACAAAGACAATCCTACTGCCCACTCACTGGCTGGGGCATGCAGTGTTTCTGGGAACTCACAATAAATTCTCTGAACAAGGTGGTTCTGTTCCTCATTGCCCAGCTCCTTGCACTGTTCTGCAACCCCCCTGCTTTACTTTCCTTTGCTCTCTGAGGAGTACCACTACGCGCCAAGGATCCAGCAGAGGTAAGTGCTGATGTGCTGTGCTGGGGAGCCAGGGCCCGTGGTCTGTGCCCCCCCCTTTGCAGGGGGTCACAGAGGCCTGGAAACAAACCCACCCACAAGAGCAGGGGAAGTGCCGTTGCTCTGAGCCCCTCTGCCACCGTTCTGAGTTGTGTCTGCCTCCCGAGTACCTGAGCTGGGGGAGCAGCACTGTCTGCCTCCTTCCCCATCTCTCCCCACGTGCTGACAGACGTGCAGTCCGGCAGGAGCACATCCTCCAAGCAACAAGACCGCACAGGTTGGAGTTGAGTGGTTTATTAGTGTAATGAGAAGGGGTGCAGCAGGGGTTCCCAGAGCGGCCGTCTCCGCCTTGCTGCTACGCACCAGGGCACGGGCGCCCTGCAGGACGTGCCAGTGGTACTGGGGAAGCTGCTTCCTACCTACAGTCTACGGGTCCAGCCCGGAATCTGCCCTCGGTCCAGGGTGAAGAAGCAAGTGGGGAGATGAGCTAGAGCTGGCGGGTGTCCACACTGGGCTCTGCAGGCCATGAGCTGGGGTAGGCAGGGGCAGTAGGTGCCGGGTGGTATTTCTCAATCACCTCCCGCAGCCCCTTGGAGAAGTGGAGATCAGCTCCCACCGTGAGGAATCCCTGCGAACGCGAAGAGGTTTAGCAGAAGGTTGGGTGTGACTGTACCCTTCCCCAGCAGGACATGGTCCCTGCACCAGCTGTGGGGGCCCAGGCTGTCCCGATCCCGCTGCGTACCGCATGGTTGGTGACCACCTCCTTGGTGAAGTCCATGCCTTCTGGCAGTGGGATCTGCACCCCCTTTTTAGTTCTCTCTGCAGGGAGGAAGAGATGCAGTGAAGCCAAGTCCCACTGTGTCCCTGCCCCAAGCTCGGCTGTGTGTGGGCAGCAGTGGTGCTTACCGTTAATGATGGGCATGATCGTCAGCTGCAGCAGGGTCTTCAGTGGGGCCTGCAGTGAGAACAGCTGGGAACAGAGAAGCGTGGGTGAAGCGCACCAGCAGCAGACCTGCCTGCCTGGGTGGGCTAAAAGGGGCATCCTGCACTGTGCAGCCCCTCCCCAAGCCTGCCTCATGCTGTGGCTGGGGACTAGCAAGGGAGGCTGGATCCCCCAGGCTGGCATGGGTCCACTCACCGCTAGTGACTCCAGCGCAGATTGCTTGGAGTAGATGCGAAACCTGCAGGGGAGAAAGACGTGAGCTGAGTGCAGAGGGAACCTTCCCTGCAGCCTCCGCAGGACCCCAGCACTGGCCGTACCGTCGCAGGTCCAGCTGCACGCGCAGCGCCTTCCTTTGCAGAAACACCTTGGCGCTCAGCTTTGTTTCCTAGGGAGAGAGAAGGCTGAGTTGCAGCCCTGGTGTGCCCACTGCAGGCAGGCAGCTGGCCAGGCCGGCTGCTCCTCTTGCTCCACAGGCCCAGCTGTCCCCTCTGCTTTGGTGTGGGACACCAGAGCCTTTCCCCGTGGGGTGGGAAATGCTCTTCCCATGTACACTGCGGTGGCTGCACAGGGATCCCCAGTCGCATGCACCCCTCCCGGCCAGACCCCCACGCACCATGGCCATGCTGGAGAGCTGGACAGCAGGGCGGCCTGGGGGCACCAGCGAGATGTTGAGGAAGGCAGAGACTGAGACGGAGGTGCCCGAGGGTTTGATGATGCAGCGGGGGGGAGCCGACACCTGCAGCACCAGCCGCAGGGGAGCATCCACTGCAGGGCTCTGAGGAGGGCAGGTGAGCCGGAGGCATGGAGCTGGGCAGGGCTGTGCTCTGCCCCAGGGGCTCCCCCGTGCCTCCCGCCCCAGCTGGGTGCTCCTCTCACCAGCATGAAGATGGTCCCAAAGAAGGTGGCTCTCAGCAAAACCTCCAGATCCTTGGGCACCTGGAGGGAGGACAAACCACCGGAGGGTAAGTGAGTGGCTGCTGTTGATCCCAGCAGAGCTGCTCCCTGGATGACACCTCTCCTGCTCTGTGGGCAGAGCCCAGCCCTCCCTCCTGCCTGGCAGCAGGCCTCTCCCCGCAGACAGCTGCCTGCGCATAGCTGGGTGTCCCGGTACTGCTTACTTTCTCCCCCTGGAGCTCTATGGCCAGCACGCCTGCCTGGAAGTACGCATGCATGGCAGAGTCAAAAAAATACTCGGAGAAGGCAACGTAGACCATGCGCTCCGTCTCCTTGATCACCGGCTCCACCGCGTGGTTCTCCAGCTCCTGGATCTCACTTGCACGGGGGAAGAACATGCCCTGGGCCGAGAACAGGAGACGTTTCTGCAGCCGTAGCGCAGCCCACCCAGCTCAGTCCATGGTGCGCAGCATGCAGGCTGGCACAGCTGCTCCCATGGGGACTGGGAGGGTTGGCAGGGCAGGATCTAGTGTTCACCTTGAAGTCTAGGTCGAGGGTGTCTGTGGAGACGGTCGGATCCCGCAGGAGGGAGTAGTCAATCCCGATGTGTTCATCCACATAGTTTCTCACTGCCAGGGAAGATGTGCTGTCATGACCAAGCCTGCAGGCCACCCGGCAGCCTGATGCCCAGCTGTGCCCTCCCCACAGTGAGCCGGGTCCGGTCCCTTGCCCCAGGGCAACACTCACCTGGCACTGTGTCCAGCAGGGAGTTCAGCAGCACCAGGCTGGCGTGCTCCAGGGACGGGCAGATCTGAAAGGCAAGGGCCTGGGCTAAGAAGGGAGTTGCTCCCAGGTCTGGATAAGGACCCGGACCCTCCTGCTGTGGGGCAGGGCAAGGCCAGGCCCTCCCTGGGCTCCATTGTCTGTCTGCCCTCAGCCGTACCTGCTGGCTGACGAGGAAGCGCATCCCTGTGACAATGAAGGTGCTCAGGAACTCATAGACCTTCCTGCAGGACACAACAGCAGCTTTGTGGCTGCCTGCCTTCCCCTGTGGCTCCAGTCCTGTCCCTCCGTTCCCGTGCGAGCACACAGCTTGGGCTGGGGAAGTCCCGAGGGTGCACAAAGGGAGGTCGGGGAGCCGGGCACAGGCAGAGCTGGCCAGATGGAGGGACAGGGCTGCTGCGGTAGGGTTGGGTGTACCTGAGTGTGCCAGAGAAGCCTGCACGCATTCTGGCAATGGAGGCATTGCAGGTGATGTTAGAGATCTTCAGGCGCCCAGCCTCGTCCTTGGCCAGCTGCAGCACTGTGTAGATGTGGACACCATCCGCAGAGGCATTGATGGACCCGATGTCATAGCTGGAAGCCAGGAAAGCAGATGAGAGGAGCACACAGCTCCGATCAGCTGCAGGGCAGCAAGGCATCCATGGCATCCAGCGGGCAAGGC